CGCCCCATTCTCCCGCTTTCCATCACCCCGCCCCATTCTCCCGCTTTCCATCACCCAGCCTCATTCTCCCGCTTCTATCACCCCGCCCCATTCTCCCTCTTTCCATCACCCGCCCCATTCTCCTCTTTCCATCACCCCGCCCCATTCTCCCGCATTCCTTCACCCCGCCCCATTTCCCTCGTTCCATCACCCGCTCCATTCTCCCGCTTTCCATCACCCCACCCGATTCTCCCTCTTTCATCACCCCTCCCATTCTCCCTCTTCCCATCACCCGCCCCATTCTCCCGCTTTCCATCACCCGCCCCATTCTCCCTCTTTCCACCACCCCGCCCCATTCTCCCTCTTTCCATCACCCCGCCACATTCTCCCGCTTTCCATCACCGCCCCATTCTCCCTCTTTCCATCACCCCGCCCCATTCTCCCGCTTTCCATCACCCCGCCCCATTCTCCCTCTTTCCATCACCCCGCTCCATTCTCCCGCTTTCCATCACCCGCCCAATTCTCCCTCTTTCCATCACCCCTCCTCATTCTCCCTCTTTCCATCACCCCGCCCCATTCTCCCGCTTTCCACCACCCCGCTCCATTCTCCCGCTTTCCATCACCCTGCCCAATTCTCCCCCTTTCCATCACCACGCCCCATTTCCCTCTTTCCATCACCCCGCCCCATTCTCCGCTTTCCATCACCCCGCCCCATTCTCCCGTTTTCCCTCACCCCGCCCCATTCTCCAGCTTCCATCACCCCGCCCCATTCTCCCGCTTTCCATCACCCCGCCCCATTCTCCCCTCTTCCATCACCCCGCCCCATTCTCCCGCTTTCCATCACCCCGCCCCATTCTCCCTCCTTCCACAACCCGCCCATTCTCCCGCTTTCCATCACCCCGCCCCATTCTCCGCTTTCCATCACCCCACCCCATCCTCCCACCTTCCATCACCCTGCCCCATTCTCCCTCCTTCCATCACCCCGCCCCATTTTCCCGTTTTCCATCACCCGCCCCATTCTCCTGCTTTCCATCACCCGCCCCATTCTCCCGCTTTCCATCACCCCGCCCCATTCTCCCGCTTTCCATCACCCCACCCCATCCTCCCACCTTCCATCACCCCGCCCCATTCTCCCTCCTTCCATCACCCCGCCCCATTCTCCCGCTTTCCATCACTCCGCCCCATTCTCCCGCTTTCCATCACCCCGCCCCATTCTCCCGCCTTCCATCACCCCGCCCTGTTCTCCCGCTTTCCATCACCCGCCCCATTCTCCCGCTTTCCATCATCCCGCCCCATTCTCCCTCTATCCATCACCCCGCCCCATTCTCCCGCCTTCCATCACCCCGCCCATTCTCTCGATTTGCATCACCCCCCCCATTCTCCACCTTCCATCACCCCGCCAATCTCCCTCTTCCATCAACCCGCCCCATTCTCCTGCTTTCCATCACCTCGCTCCATTCTCCCTCTTTCTATCACCCCGCCCCATTCTCCCGCTTTCCATCACCCCGCCCGCTTTCCATCACCCAGCCCTCTTTCATCACCCCGCTCCATTCTCCCGATTTCCATCAACCCGCCCGATTCTCCCTCTTTCCATCACCCCCCCATTCTCCACTCTTTCCATCAAACCGCTCCATTCTCCCGCTTTCCATCACCCCAGCCCATTCTCCCTCTTTCCATCACCGCCCCATTCTCTCGCTTTCCATCACCCCCCCATTCTCCCCCCTTTACATCACCCCGCCCCATTCTCCGCTTTCCATCACCCGCCCCATTCTCCGCTTTCCATCACCCCGCCCCATTCTCCCTCTTTCCATCACCCGCCCCATTCTCCCTGCTTTCCATCACCCCACCCCATTCTCCCGATTTCGCATCACCCCGCCCCATTCTCCCGCCTCCATCACCCCGCCCCATTCTCCTCTTTCCATCCCACCCGCCCCATTGTCCGCTTTCCATCACCCCGCCCCATTCTCCCTCTTTCCATCACCCGCCCCATTCTCCCGCTTTCCATCACACCACCCCATTCTCCCGCTTTCCATCACCCGCCCATTCTCCCGCTTTCCATCACCCCGCTCCATTCTCCCGCTTTCCATCAACCGCCCAATTCTCCCTCTTTCCATCACCCCTCCCCATTCTCCCTCTTTCCATCACCCCGCCCCATTCTCCCGCTTTCCATCACCCGCGCCATTCTCCCGCTATCCATCACCCCGCCCCATTCTTCCTCTTCCCATCACCTCGCCCCATTCTCCTGCTTTCCATCACCCCGCCCCATTCTCGCGATGTCCATCACCCCGCCCCATTCTCCCGCTTTCCATCACCCCGCCCCATTCTCCCGCTTTCTATCACCCGGCCCATTCCCGCTTTCCATCACCCCGCCCCATTCTCCCGCTTTCCATCACCCCGCCCCATTCTCCCTCTTCCCATCACCCGCCCCATTCTCCCGCTTTCCATCATCCCGCCCCATTCTCCCGCTTTCACCACCCGCCCCATTCTCCGATTTCCATCACCCCGCCCCTCTCCCACTTTCCATCACTCCGCCCCATTCTCCCGGTTTCCATCACCCCGCTCCATTCTCCCACTTTCAATCACACCCCCCCCCAATTATCCCTCTTTCCATCACCCGCCCCATTCTCCCTCTTTCCATCACCCCGCCCCATTCTCCCGCTTTCCATCACCCCGCCCCATTTCCCGATTTCCATCACCCCGCCCATTCCCCGCTTTCCATCACCCCGCCCCATTCTCCGCTCTTTCCATCACCCCCCCCATTCTCCCGCTTTCCATCACCCGCCCCATTCTCCCGCTTTCCATCTCCCAGCCTCATTCTCCCGCTTTCCATCACCCCGCCCCATTCTCCCGCTTTCCATCACCCCGCCCCATTCTCCCTCTTTCCATCACCCCGCCCCATTCTCCCGCATTCCTTCACCCCGCCCCATTTTCCCTCGTTCCATCACCCCGCTCCATTCTCCGCTTTCCATCACCCCGCCCGATTCTCTCTTTCCATCACCCCTCCCCATTCTCCCTCTTTCCATCACCCGCCCCATTCTCCCGCTTTCCATCACCCCGCCCCATTCTCCCTCTTTCCACCACCCCGCCCCATTCTCCCTCTTTCCATCACCCCGCCACATTCTCCGCTTTCCATCACCCCGCCCCATTCTCCCTCTTTCCATCACCCCGCCCCATTCTCCCGCTTTCCATCACCCCGCCCCATTCTCCTCTTTCCATCACCCCGCTCCATTCTCCCGCTTTCCATCACCCCGCCCAATTCTCCCTCTTTCCATCACCCCGCCCCATTCTCCGGCTTTCCACCACCCCGCTCCATCCTCCCGCTTTCCATCACCCCGCCCAATTCTCCCGCTTTCCATCACCACGCCCCATTTTCCCTCTTTCCATCACCCGCCCCATTCTCCCGCTTTCCATCACCCCGCCCCATTCTCCCGCTTTCATCCCCGCCCCCGCCCCATTCTCCAGCTTTCCATCACCCCGCCCCATTCTCCCGCTTTCCATCACCCCTCCCCATCTCCCTCTTTCCATCACGCCGCCCCATTCTCCCACTTTCCATCACCCGCCTCATTCTCCCTCCTTCCACCAACCGCCCCATTCTCCCGCTTTCCATCACCCCGCCCCATTCTCCTGATTTCCATCACCCCACCCCATCCTCCCACCTTCACACCTGCCCCATTCTCCCTCCTCCATCACACCGCCCCATTTTCCCGTTTCCATCACCCCGCCCCATTCTCCTGCTTTCCATCACCCCGCCCCATTCTCCCGCTTTCCATCACCCGCCCCATTCTCCCGCTTTCCATCACCCCACCCCATCCTCCCACCTTCCATCACCCCGCCCATTCTCCCTCCTCCCATCACCCCGCCCCATTCTCCCGCTTTCCATCACTCCGCCCCATTCTCCCGCTTTCCATCACCCCGCCCCATTCTCCTTCCATCACCCCGCCCGTTCTCCCGCTTTCCATCACCCCGCCCCATTCTCCAGCTTTCCACACCCCGCCCATTCTCCCCCGCTTTCCATCACCCCCGCCCCATTCTTCCGCTTTCCATCACCCGCCCCATTCTCCCGCTTTCCATCACCCCGCCCACCCCATTCTCCCGCTTTCCATCACCCCGCCCCATTCTCCCGCTTTCCATAACCCGTCTCATTCTCCCGCATTCCATCACCCCGCCACATTCTCCGCTTTCCATCACCCGCCCCATTCTCCCTTCTTCCGTCACCCCGCCCCATTCTCCCTCTTTCCGTCACCCCCCCCATTCTCCATCCTTCCATCACCCCGCCTATTTCCCGCTTTCCATCAGCCCGCCCCATTCTCCCGCTTTCCATCACCCGCCCCATTCTCGCTTCCATCAACCCCGCCCCATTCTCCCGCTTTCCATCAACCCGCCCCATTCTCTCGCTTTCCATCACCCTAACCCATTCTCCCGCTTTCCATCACCTCGCCCCATTCTCCCGCTTTCCATCACCCCGCCCATTCTCCCGCTTTCCATCACCCCGCCCCATTCTCCCGCTTTCCATCACCCCACCCCATCCTCCCACCTTCCATCACCCTGCCCATTCTCCCTCCTTCCATCACCCCGCCCCATTTTCCCGTTTTCCATCACCCCGCCCCATTCTCCTGCTTTCCATCACCCCGCCCCATTCTCCCGCTTTCCATCACCCCACCCCCATCCTCCCACCTTCCATCACCCCGCCCCATTCTCCCTCCTTCCATCACCCGCCCCATTCTCCCGCTTTCCATCACTCCGCCCCATTTTCCCGCTTTCCATCACCCCGCCCCATTCTCCCTCCTTCCATCACCCCGCCCCGTTCTCCCGCTTTCCATCACCCGCCCTATTCTCCGCTTTCCACCACCCGCCCCATTCTCCCGCTTTCCATCACCCCGCCCCATTCTCCCGCTTTCCATCACCCCGCCCCATTCTCCCTCTTTCCATCACCCCGCCCATTCTCCCTCTTTCCATCACCCCGCCCCATTCTCCTTCCTTCAATCACCCTGCCCCATTCTCCCGCTTTCCATCACCCCGCCCCATTCTCCTTGCTTCCATCACTCCGCCCCATTCTCCCGCTTTCCATCACCCCGCCCCATTCTCCCGCTTTCCATCACCCCACCCCATTCTCCGCTTTCCATCACCCCGCCCATTCTCCCGCTTTCCATAACCCCGTCCCATTCTCCCGCATTCCATCACCCGCCACATTCTCCCGCTTTCCATCACCCCGCCCCATTCTCCCTCCTTCCGTCACCCCGCCCCATTCTCCTCCTTCCATCACCCGCCCCATTCTCCATCCTTCCATCACCCCGCCCCATTTTCCCGCTTTCCATCAGCCCGCCCCATTCTCCCGCTTTCCATCACCCCGCCCCATTCTCCCGCTTTCCATCACCCCTCCCATTCTCCCGCTTCCATCACCCCGCCCCATTCTCTCGCTTTCCATCACCCTACCCCATTCTCCCGCTTTCCATCACCCCGCCCCATTCTCCCGCTTTCCATCACCCCGCCCCATTCTCCCGCTTTCCATCACCCCGCCCCATTCTCCCGCTTTCCATCACCCCGACCCATTCTCCCTCTTTCCATACCCCCGCCCATTCTCCCTCCTTCCATCACCCCGCCCTATTCTCCTTCCTTCAATCACCCCGCCCATTCTCCCGCTTTCCATCACCCCGCCCCATTTTCCCGTTTTCCATCACCCCGCCCCATTCTCCCGCTTTCCATCACCTCGCCCCATTCTCACTGCTTCCATCACCCAACCAATCTTCTCCTTCCATCAACCGTCCTTCTCCCGCTTTCCATCACCCGCCCCATTCTCCCGCTTCCATCACCCCGCCCGATTCTCCTCCTTCCATCACCCAGCCCCGTTCTCCCGCTTTCCATCACCCGCCCCATTCTCCCGCTTTCCATATCCCCGCCCCATTCTCCCGCTTTCCATCACCCCGCCCCATTCTCCCACTTTCCATCACCCCGCCCCATTCTCCGCTTTCCATTGCCCCGCCCCATTCTTCCTCTTCATTCCACCCCCACCCGCCCCATTCTCCTCCTTCCATCGCTCCGCCCCATTCTCCCTCCTTCCATCACCCCGCCCAATTCTCCCGCTTTCCATCACCCCGCCACATTTTCCCGCTTTCAATCACCCCGCCCCATTCTCCCTCCTACCATCGCCCCGCCCCATTCTCCCTCTTTCCATCACCCCGCCCCATTCTCCCTCCTTCCATCACCCCGCCCCATTTTCCCGCTTTCCATCAGCCCGCCAATTCTCCCGCTTTCCAAAACCCCGCCCCATTTTCCCGCTTTCCATCACCCCGCCCCATTCTCCCGCTTTCCATCACCCGCCCCATTCTCCCGCTTTCCATCACCCCGCCCCATTCTCCCGCTTTCCATCACCCCGCCCCATTCTCCCGCTTTCCATCACCCCGCCCCATTCTCCCGCTTTCCATCACCCCGCCCGATTCTCCTCCTTCCATCACCCAGCCCCGTTCTCCCGCTTTCCATCACCCCGCCCCATTCTCCCGCTTTCCATCACCCCGCCCCATTCTCCGCTTTCCATCACCCCCCCGCCCCATTCTCCCGCTTTCCATCACCCCGCCCCATTCTCCCGCTTTCCATCACCCCGCCCCATTCTCCCGCTTTCCATCGCCCCGCCCCATTCTCCCTCCTTCCATCACCCCGCCCCATTCTCCCGCTTTCCATCACCCCGCCCCATTCTCCCTCCTTCCATCACCCCGCCCAATTCTCCCGCTTTCCATCACCCCGCCCCATTCTCCTGCTTTCCATCACCCCGCCACATTCTCCACTTTTCATCAACCCGCCCCATTCTCCCGCTTTCCATCACCCGCCCCATTCTCCCTCTTTCCATCACCCCGCCCCATTCTCCCGCTTTCCATCTCCCCACCCCATTCTCCTGCTTTCCATCACCCCGTCCAATTCTCCCCACCCCATTCTCCTACTTCTGGACCTAGCAAGCTATTGGACCAGGCAAGCTCCTGGACCAGGCAAGCACCTGGACGAGGCAAGCTCGTGGACCAGGCAAGCTCCTGGACCAGGCAAGCTCCTGGACCAGGCAAGGTCCTGGACCAGGCAAGCTCTTGGACCAGGCAAGCTCCTGGACCACGCAAGCTCTTGGACCAGGCACGCTCCTAGACCAGGCAAGCTCTTGGACCAGGCAGGCTTGTGGACAAGGCAAGCTCCTAGACCAGGCAAGCTTCTGGACAGGCAAACTCGTGGACCAGGCAAGCTCCTGGAAAAGGCAAGCTTCTAGACCAAGCAAGCTCCTGGACCACGCAAGCTCCTGGACCAGGCACGCTCGTGTGGACCAGGCACGCTCCTGGACCAGGCAAGCTCTTGGACCAAGCAGGCTCGTGGACCAGGCACGCTCCTAGACGAGGCAAGCTCCTTGACCAGGCAAGCTCCTGGACCAGGCACGCTCATGGACCAAGCACGCTCTTGGACCAGGCAAGCTCCTAGAACAGGCAAGCTCCAGGACCATGCAAGCTCTTGGACCAGGCTTGCTCCTGGACCAGGCAAGCTCTTGGACCAGGCAGGCTTCTGGACCAAGCAAGCTATTGGACCAGGCAAGCTCCTGGACCAGGCAAGCTCCTGGACCAGGTAAGCTCGTGGACCAAGCACGCTCCTGGACCAGGCAAGCTCCTGGACCAGGCAAGCTCGTGGACTAGGCAAGCTCTTGAACCAGGCACACTTGTGGATCAGGCACGCTCTCTGAACTAGGCAAGCTCTTGGACCAGCAGGCTCGTGGACGAGGCAAGCTCTTGGACTAGGCAAGCTCCTGGATCAGGCAAGCTCCTTGACCACGCAAGCTCCTGGACCAGCCACGCTCATGGACCAGGCACGCTCCTGGACCAGGCACGCTCCTGGACCAGGCACGCTCCTTGACCACGCAAGCTCCTGGACCAGGCAAGCTCCTGGACCACGCAAGCTCTTGAACAGGCACGCTCCTGGACCAGGCAAGCTTTTGGACCAGGCACGCTTCTGGACCAAGCAAGCTCCTGGACCAGGCAAGCTCGTGGACGACGCAAGCTCTTGGACCAGGCACGCTCCTCGACCAGGCAAGCTCTTGGACCAGGCAGGCTTTTGGACCAAGCAAGCTCCTGGACCAAGCAAGCTCCTGGACCATGCACGCTCTTGGACGAGGCAAGCTCCTGGATCGGGCAAGCTCCTGGACCAGGCAAGCTCCTCGACCAGGCAAGCTCCTGGACCAGGTACGGTCGTGGACCAGGCAAGCTCTTGGACCAGGCAAGCTCTTGGACCAGGAAGGCTCGTGGACCAGGCACGCTCCTGGACCAGGCAAGCTCCTGGACCAGGCAAGCTCCTGAACCAGGCAAGCTTCCTGGATCAGGCACGCTCCTCGACCCAAGCAATCCTAGATCAGGCAAGCTCCTGGACCAGGAAAGCTCCTGGACCAGGAAAGCTCCTGGACCAGGCAAAACTCGTGGACCAAGCACGCTCCTGGACCAGGCAAGATCCTGGAGCAGGCACGCTCCTGGACCAAGCAAGCTCCTAGACCAGGCAATCTCTTGGACTAGGCACGCTCCTAGACCAGGCAAGCTCTTGGACTACGCAGGATTCTGGACCAAGAAAGCTCCTGGACCAGGCACACTCCTAGACCATGCACGCTCCTAGACAAGGCAAGCTCGTGGACCGGGCACGCTCCTAGACCAGGCAAGCTCCTAGACCAAGCAAGCTCCTTGATCAAGGCACGCTCGTGGACCAGGCATGCTCCTGGACCAGGCAAGCTCTTAGACGATGCAGGCTCGTGGACCAGGCACGCTCCTGGACCAGGCAAGCTCCTTCACCAGGCAAGCTCCTGGACCAGGCAAGATCCTGGACCAGGCACGCTCGTGGACCAGGCATGATCCTGGACCAGGCAAGCTCCTGGACTAGGTAGGCTCCTCGACCAGGCAAGCTCTTGGACCAGGCACGCTCGTGGACCAGGCACGCTCTTGGACCAGGCAAACTCGTGGACAAGGCAAGCTCTTCGACCAGGCAAGCTTCTGGACCAAGGAAGCTCCTGGACCAGGCAAGCTCCTGGACCAGGCTAGCTCCTGAACAAAGCAAGCTCCTAGACCACACAAGCTCTTGGACCAGGCATGCTCGTGGACCAGGCAAGCTCTTGGACGCAGCAGGCTTCTAGACCAAGCAAGCTCCAGGACCAGGCAAGCCTCCTAGACCAGGCAAGCTCCTGGAACAGACAAGCTCCTGGACAAGGCAAGCTCCTGGACCAAGCAAGCTCCTGGACCAGGCACGCTCGTGGACCAAGGCACGCTCCTGGACCAGGCAAGCTCTTCGACCAGGCAGGCTCGTGGACCAGGCACGCTCCTGGACCAGGCAAGCTCCTGGCCCAGGCACGCTCCTGAACCAGGCATGCTCGTGGACCAGGCACGCTCTTGGACCAGGCAAGCTCCTGGACAAGGCAAGCTCCTGGACCACGCAAGCTCTTGGGCCAGGCACCCTCCTGGACCACGCAAGCTCTTGGACCAGGCACGCTTCTGGACCAAGCAAGCTCGTGGACCATGTAAGCTCCTGGACCAGGCACGCTCCTGGACAAGGCAAGCCAGGACCTGGCAAGCTCTTAGACCAGGCAAGCTCCTGGACCAGGCAAGCTCCTTGACCAGGCAAGCTCCTGGACCAAGCAAGCTCCTCGACTAGGCACGCTCGTGGACCCGCCATGCTTTTGGACCAGGCAAGCTCTTGGACCAGGCAGTTCGTGGACCAGGCACGCTCCTGAACCAAGCAAGCTCCTGGACCAGGCAAGCTCCTGGACCACGCAAGCTCCTGGACCAGGCACGCTCGTGGACCAGGAACACTACTGGACCAGGCAAGCTCCTGGACCACGCAAGCTCTTGGACCAGGCACGCTCCTGGACTTGGCAAGCTCTTGGACCAGGCAAGCTTATGGACCAAGCAAGCTCTTGAACCAGGCAAGCTCCTCGACCAGGCAAGCTCCTGGACCAGGCACGATCTTGGACCAGGCAAGTTCCTGGACCAGCACGCTCGTGGACCATGAACGCTCCTTGACTAGGCAAGCTCTTGGACCAGGCAGGCTCATGGACCAGGCAAGCTCTTGGACCAGGCAAGCACTTGGATCACGCAAGCTCCTAGACCACGCAGGCTCGTGGACCAGGCACACTCGTGGACCAGGCACGCTCCTGGACCAGGCACGCTCCTAGACTAGGCAAGCTCCTGGACCACGCAAGCTCTTGGACCAGGCACGCTCCTGGACCAAGCAAGCTCTTGGAACAGGGCACGCTTGTGGACCAAGCAAGCTCCTCGACCAGGCAAGCTCGTGGACCACCGCAAGCTCTTGGACCAGGCACGCTCCTCGACCAGGCAAGCTCTTGGTCCAGGCAAGCTTCTGGACCAAGCAAGCTCCTGGACCATACAAGCTCCTGGACCATGCACGCTCCTGGACAAGGCAGACTGCACGACCAGGAAAGCTCCTTGACCCCACAAGCTCCTGGACCAGGCAAGCTCTTGGACCAGGCAAGCTCTTGGACCAGGCAGGCTTCTGGACCGGGCAAGCTCCTGGACGAGGCAAGCTCCTGGACCATGCACGCTCCTGGACCAAGCAAGCTCCTGGACCAGGCAAGCTCCTGGACCAAGCAAGCTCCTGGACTAGGCAAGCTCTTGGACCAGGCAAAGCTACCTGGACCAGGCAAGGTCTTGGACCAGGCAAGCTCCTGGACTAGGCACACTTTTGGACCAGTCACGCTCTTGGTCCAGGCAAGCTCTTGGACCAGGCAGGCTCGTGGACGAGGCACGCACCTGGACCAAGCAAGCTCCTGACCAGGCAAGCTCCTGGACCTTAGGCACGCTCCTCAGACCACTGCAAGCTGTTGGACCTGGCAAAGCTCCTAGACCAGGCAAGCTCCTAGACCAGGCACGCTCCTAGACCAGGCAAGCTCCTTGACCAGGAAAGCTACAGGACCAGGCACGCTTGTGGACCAGGCACGCTCTTGGACCAGGCACGCTTCTGGACCAAGCAAGCTCCTAGACCAGGCAGGCTCGTGGACCACGCAAGCTCTTGGACCAGGCACGCTCCTCGACCAGGCAAGCTCTTGGACCAGGCAGGCTTTTGGACCAAGCAAGCTCATGGTCCAGGCAAGCTCGTGGACCATGCACGCTCCTAGACCAGGCAAGCTCCTAGACCAGTCAAGCTCCTGGACCAGGCAAGCTCCTGGACCAGGCGAGCTCCTGGACCAGGCAAGCTCCTGGACCAGGCAAGCTCCTGGACCAGGCAAGCTCATGGACTTGGCAAGCTCCTGGACCAGGCCAGCTCGTGGAGCACGCTAAGCTCTTGGACCACGGCACGCTCCCGACCAAGCAAGCTCTTGGACCAGGCAGGCTTTTGGACAAAGCAAGCTCCTAGACCAGGCAAACTCCTCGACCATAGCACGCTCCTCAACCAGGCAAGCTCCTGCCACCAGGCAAGCTCCTGGACCCGGCACGCTCTTGGACCAGGCAAGCTCTTGGACCAGGCAAGGCTCGTGGACCAGGCACGCTCCTGGACCAGGTAAGCTCCTGGACCAGGCAAGCTTCTGGACCACGCAAGCTCCTGAACCAGGCAAGCTCTTGGACCTGGCACGCTCCTGGACTTGGCAAGCTCTTGGACCAGGCAAGCTTATGGACCAAGCAAGCTCCTGAACCACGCAAGCTCCTGGACCAGGCAAGCTCCTGGACCAGGCAAGATCTTGGACCAGGCAAGCTCGTGGACCAGGCAAGCTCCTGGACCAGGCACGCTCGTGGACCAGGAACGCTCCTCGACTAGGCAAGCTCTTGGACCAGGCATGCTCGTGGACCAGGCAAGCTCTTGGACGAGGCAAGCTTTTGGATCAGGCAAGCTCCTTGACCACGCAAGCTCTTGGACCAGGCACACTCGTGGACCAGGCACGCTCCTGGACCAGGCAAGCTCTTGGACCATGCACGCTTCTGGACCAAGCAAGCTC